CTGCGAGGCATGGTTCACATCAGACAGTGCTTCTTGAAACCAGTAAACCCACAACAGGTGTGTGTTTTTTAAGGGCAGGACAGCTGTCAGCAACACATCCAATATCATCACACTGATTGGAGTCAAGGTTGGCTCACTCCTGGCTCCAATTAGCTCTGGGAGAAGTCATTAAGCTAGGGCCTCACATACTTTTTCCTCCCTGCACTGTGAATGTTTACATGTTATGTGCAATTAAACCATGGCAACATCTAATGTTTGTGTAGTATTATGTTCAGCAGACTGTGTTCTTCTATTGTTGTGACTTAGATGACGTTCAGAGCACATTTTATGCCCAATTCATGCAAAACTCCACGTAATCCCAAGGGGTTCACATACTTTTTCTTGCAACTGTATGTGCTGAGAGCGTGCGCCTTGCGCGCTCCCTGCACAGATGTCCGGTACTGACGGAAAGGTCCCGATCTCCTCTTTCAATCGGGACCTTTCCCGATCATGTGACCCTAAACCCCGCCCCGCCTCCCGGTGTCTGAAACCCTTAAAGGGCCAGAAGGCTCCAGCGCGAAGGGGTTAAGCTCGTATGTTGCAATGCCAACAATTATGCCAGCAATTAGAAGAGGAAGAAGAGGAATTTTCTAAAAGTATACTGGCACGTTTATGAAGGGGTCGCTGGTTCGAATCCCAACCACGGCACCACCTGCCTGGAGTTTGCAAGTTCTCTCTGTGCCTGCGTGGGTTTCCTCCGAGTCTTCCAGTTTCCTCCCACACTCCAAAGACATGCTGGGAGGTGGTTTGTCTCCTGTCTAAATTGGCCTTGTATGTGTATGTATGAATGTGAGTTAGGGACCTTAGATTGTTCACTCCTCGGGGGCGGAGACTAATGGGAATGTACAATATATATATATATGTACAGTGCTGCGGTGCTACATAAGTACCTGAAATAAATAAAATTATTATTATTATACAGTATTTATAAAGCGCCAATAGTTCGCTCAGCGCTGTACATTACAAAGGGGGACAGAACATGTGACAGAACAATACCAATACAATGTGATACACGAGGGGATCGAGGGCCCTGCTCTTTGGAGCTTACAATCTAGGAGGGAGGGGATAGTGGTACAGGAGGAGATAGCTGTGGGGGATGGAGTGGTAGGAAGAGTGGAGGAGGTCGGCAAGTTAGCAGGGGGTGGGGTAGGCTTCCCTGAAGAGATGGGTTTTTAGGGTGCGCCTAAAGGAGAGGAGAGTAGGTGATAATCTGATGGGTTGGGGCAGGGAGTTCTAGAGGATGGGTGACACCCTGGAGGCAGGCATGGGAGGAGGAGACCAGGGAAATAGAGAGAAGGAGGTCTTGTGAGGAGCGGAGTGTGCATGTTGGGCGGTACTTGGATATTAGGTCAGTGATGTAGTTCGGGGCAGTATGGTGGACGGCTTTGTATGTCAGTGTTAGGATTTTGAATTTGATCCGTTGGGCAATCGGAAGCCAGTGGAGGGATTGGCAGAGAGGAGTGGAGGACACTGAGTGGAGGCCAGTGGAGGGATTGGCAGAGGGGGGTGGAGGCCAGTGGAGGGATTGGCAGAGGGGAGTGGAGGACACTGAATGGAGGCCAGTGGAGGGATTGGCAGAGAGGGGTGGAGGACACTGAGTGGAGGCCAGTGGAGGGATTGGCAGAGAGGGGTGGAGGACACTGAGTGGAGGCCAGTGGAGGGATTGGCAGAGGGGTGGAGGAGGCTGAGTGGAGGGATTGGAGAGGGGATGGCGGACACTGAGTGGGGTGGAGGCCAGTGGAGGGATTGGCAGAGAGGAGTGGAGGACACTGAGTGGAGGCCAGTGGAGGGATTGGCAGAGGGGGGTGGCGGAGACGGAGCGTTGGAAAGGTTAATGAGTCTGGCAGCCATATTCAGGATGGACTGAAGCGGGGATAGCCAGCGGCGAGGCAGGCCAGTGAGGAGGGAGTTGCAGTAGTCGAGTCGTGATATGATGAGGGAGTGGATGAGCTGTTTAGTGGTTTCTGGGGTTAGGAACGTGCGGATTTTGGCGATGTTGCGGAGGTGGAGTCTGCATGTTGCGGAGGTGGAGTCTGCATGTTGCGGAGGTGGAGTCTGCATGTTGCGGAGGTGGAGTCTGCATGAGTTTGTTAAAGATTGGACTTGGGGCTGGAAGGATAGGTTGGAGTCCAGAATGACACCAAGTACTCTGGCCTGCGGGGCGGGTTTGATGGTGGCGTTGTTGGATGTGATGGAGAAGTCAGTAGGGGGGGGGGGTCCGGGCTGGGGGGAAGACAAGAAACTCAGTTTTGGAGAGGTTCAGTTTAAGGAAGTGGAGCGACATCCAGTCTGATATGTCGCTCAGTAGGCTAGTGATTCGGGTGGAGACCGAGGGGGTGAGGAAAATAAATCAACATTGTACTCGGGATGTTTCTGTCAACAATATCCTGAGTATAAATATCAGTGAATGATTACGTTTGTGAGGACGAGGGACGGTGCAATGTGAGATCATGTAACATCCACATCCGTGTCATATTGCGATCGATCTTGAGATTGGCTGTTTTATTGGACAGATTTTTAAAGGCCGCATCTGAAAATGCCAACCTCCGGCCATGTTGTGTTTTTTTTGTAAATCTTCAGTGCGATGATCTGGAAATGTACAGAAAGCAGAAGTGAGAGATCTCAGAAGATCTCCCATGAGCCTTTCACAAAGAGTTGTTGAAGTTTCCGGAGACTCAGAGGGAGGTTTCTGGAAAGAGGAGGAAAGTTCTTTGTGACATGAAATGGTGTTTTGATCTCTGGGACTCGGCTGTGAAACCGGTTTTGTGGGAAGATGAGCGTCTTCGGGAAGATGTTCGGGGAGCTCATATATCACCGTACTTCTCCTAATAAAGGAAACCTGCAGTGGATTTCCACTTGGCATATATCTGACCAGTGATTACAGTACGGTACCGGACAGTATTGGTCACATTTTTTTCCCTTATGTTGTCCATTCTGTATTTATAGATTACATAAACAAACACGTACATTTCCCGTCCAGTCTTGTCCGCAGGTTACACAATGTTCTAACTAAAAGTTGTTTTATTTTTATATTTTACTTCTCAAAAATGAAAGAAATGATCCTTTGAAACGATCCGGGTTCACACTTGTGCAGTGCGGCATATCGCATTCCTGTGCGAATCACATGCGATTTGTGTGCGGTGCGATCGGAGCCGTACATTTTGTATGGATCTAATTGCACTGCACCAAAAAAGGTGCTGGACCCTTCTTTTGGTCTGCACTAGAATCGGGTCGCATGGGTATTCACACTTGTGGGATCCGATTCTGCACATCGCAGCGTGTTATGCGGACCGATTTCGAGGTGTTGTTAACTTAACATACACACCCGCAGCGGTTCGCATGAACGGGGTGCGATTCTGATCCGGTGAGGAATTCACACAGAAAATTCTGCACCGCATCAGTGTGAACTGGAGCTAAAGGATCTCTTTGGTCACAGCGTACGCTTTCATTTTATAACATCAGCATTGTAATAACATTACAAACAAATAGTTATTATTGACAATACAACATCAGCTTACCTGAAAAGTCAACAACCCTCTGCATTCCCTGCATGCTTTGCAGCTTCCCCTCTGATGTTTACTTTGTTTGTAAGGACTACAATTGAGGCCGCTTTCACGCATCTGCACCAAGGCAGTCATTAATGTGTTGTGGTGCCATCCATTATAAATGGCACCCCATTGCACCAAGGCAGTCATTAATGTGTGTGGTGCCATCCATTATAAATGGCACCCCATTGCACCAAGGCAGTCATGTGTTGTGGTGCCATCCATTATACATGGCACCCCATTGCACCAAGGCAGTCATTAATGTGTTGTGGTGCCATCCATTATAAATGGCACCCCATTGCACCAAGGCAGTCAAATGTGTTGTGGTGCCATCCATTATAATGGCACCCCATTGCACCAAGGCAGTCATTAATGTGTTGTGGTGCCATTCATTATAAATGGCACCCCATTGCACCAAGGCAGTCATTAATGTGTTGTGGTGCCATCCATTATAAATGGCACCCCATTGCACCAAGGCAGTCATTAATGTGTTGTGGTACCACCATTATAAATGGCACCCCATTGCACCAAGGCTGTCATTAATGTGTTGTGGTGCCATCCATTATAAATGGCACCCCATTGCACCAAGGCAGTCATTAATGTGTTGTGGTACCACCCATTATAAATGGCTCCCCATTGCACCAAGGCGGTCATTAATATGTGTGGTGCCATCCATTATAAATGGCACCCCATTGCACCAAGGCAACAGACCTGTGTTACAGCACAACACAAAGTATGCGAACACACTATCATGCATTGCAGTTCACTGCTGAACTGCATTGGGGGAAAAAAGGTTCAGGACCAATTTATGGTGCACTGACAGCCCAATAGGCTGCATTGCTGCAAAAGGTAAAAACGGGTCCTTAAAAATATGTTACAGTAAAGGCAACCTTGGGAGAAGATTTGTGCTGTTTACTTTGTTTCTAAGGACTAGATGTCCCACGATACCTTGTTACTTGCACTGATTCCGCCACCTAAAAATCCTCCTCCTCAGCAATTCTGGAGTTTAGAAGGCAGGCAGCTCTGTGAAATGTGTGACACCGCAGCACCTACCCACAGGGCTCAGTGACTACGTGTCACAGAATTCAAGGAGGTAAATGTGTGGGGAAGTTTACCAACTTCAAGATGGTTCAAGTACCCTAGAAATAATTGAAATACGAAGTGGAAATGAACACATGATCAGGGGCGGACTGACAACTCATGGGGCCCCCGGGCAATAGGGGATCCTGGGGCCCCTGTGTCCTTGCCCAAACTAAAAAAAGCCTATGAAAAAGGTACCAGGGGCATCTCATGGGGCCCCCTACTGAACCCGGGCCCTCAGTCAGTGGCCGAACTTCCAAATGGTCAGTCCGCCCCTGTACATGATTTTCCATTTTGATCTTAGATATGCTTTAATTCGTTGTTTTCTGTCCTTTTATTTTCAGGTCCAGCTGTGGCATATCCAGAAGGATTACCCCCAGAACATGCAGACGGTCAGCAGTCCAGTGAGTACAAACAGCACGTTTGCCATCCATAAACACAAACCCGCAGACACCCTGCAGATGAACTCTTATCATTTATTATTATTTTTTATTTTATTATTATTATTATTATATATGTATTATTACCTCGATCCCCTCATGTATCACATTGTATTGGTATTGTTCTGTCACATGTTCTGTCCCCCTTTGTAATGTACAGCGCTGAGTGAACTGTTGGTGCTTTATAAATACTGTATAATAATAATAATAATATTATTCTATATGTAATTATTATTTATTATATATGTATTTTATTATTTATTATATATGTATTTATTATTATTTATTATATATGTATTTATTATTAAAGTGGTTGTAAAGCTTTGCTTTAGGTTCCTGGGCTTAGTAACACTTTAACTGTAAAGGATATCATTTTATTTTTTAAAAACAACAAGCATGTGATACTTAACTGCTTCTGTGTAATGGTTTTACACAGAGCTGTCCCAATCCTCCTCTTCTCGGGTCCCCTACCAGCGCTCCTGGCCCCTTCCACCCCCGCTTCCCCTGCTCCCTCCTCACTGGTGGTGATTGACAGCAGCAGGAGCCAGTTGCCCCTCTGCTGTGCCTCAACCAATGAGCAGGAAGAGAGTCGGGAGAGTTGAGCACATCACTGGATCACAGTTGGGTTTGGGTAAGTATAAGGAGGGGACTGTGGGGGGGGAGCTGCAGAACCACTTTAAACCTCTTCACGCCGGCCGCACACAAATGTGCGGCCTCCCAGCGTCTGGGCCTAGACGTCGAGCGGCCGCACATTTGCGTGCAATTAACAAAAAACATGTGCTGAGAGCGCGCTCCTAGCACACATGTCCGGTACTCACGGAAAGGTCCCGGTCTGCTCTTTTGATTGGGACCTTTCCTGATCATGTGACCGCCGTGATGATGCGTCACGGCGGTCACATGATCCCTAAACTCCGCCCCGCCTCCCGGCTTCTAAAACTCTTAAAGGGCCGGAAGGCACCGGCGGGAAGGGGTTAAGTTGGCCACGGTTGATTCAGTTTATGGTCCGATAAAAAAACTGAACAGATTACCCCATCCACACAAACAAGGCAGATGAAGAAATCCTCCCTGCCGGACTATTGTATTCCGATTATGAGGACTCCTCTGCTGTTAGAATACACTGATCAGTGCTGCAGCTTATTGGCTGAATGAAAATATACCAACAGTCCCATTCGAGAGGACACGATCAGTAGACTGACTCTTGAACGGGAACGGCCATAAATTGAAATTTGGCCGATCCCTGCTGAATTTTGATCCTTTTATGGCTAGCTTAAAGCGGTTGTAAATCCTTCCATATACCCAGTGAAGTGAATGGTCTCGGGTGATATAGAGATGAAATTATTCCTCCTATATAAGTTGTACCTGTTTACCTGCATCCTCTTCTCTACATCCTTTCAAAGTGCTGAATTTTAAAGCTTGTCTGAGAGGTCAGAAAATAGGGAGTGCAGAGCTGAGTGAGGAGAACTCTGAGAGCTGATTGGAGGGATGTGCTTTGCTCATATTTCATGTCTGAGGTTTACAACCACAGGGCTCAATGACTACGTGTCACAGAATTCAAGGAAGTAAAGGTGCGGTTAAGTTTACCAACTTCAAGATGGTTTGAGTACCCTAGAAATGACACTAGGCAGAAATGACACTCAGTGCTTTAGACTTAGACAAGTCCACACTGTAGAGGGATGTGCTTTGCTCATATTTCATGTCTGAGGTTTACAACCACTTTTTAAGGGATTCCAGATCAGTTCAGATAATCTGCAGATCGGTTTGTGTTTTATTATATTTTTTTCTCCGTACACGTTGTAGGAATTGCACAGAAATGGCCTGGGACCCGATGCAAACGCCACGTAAATACATCAGACTGATCTCGGTCATCTTTGTACAGCCGTCCTAACTGAGTCAGAGCAGACATGGACTTCTATTCCTCATGGAATACAACTCCGGGAGGTGTCATTGCGCTCTCCATGCTTCTTCCTGCTGACACACGGCCCCCTCCCCCTCCCAGTCCCTTTGTCTGTGTACACATCTGGATCTGGTTGAGTCCTGTTAATGGTGCACATTGCCCTCATCCAGTACATGTACAGACAGGCTTCTCATGTTCTGGGAGGTATCCTGATCCTGTACAGCACACGCGAGAGACACAAATACCCGACATAATAATTCACAGGCCTGGCAGCAGTTTGTGCTGAATTTCAGGCAGGAAGGTCAAAGATAACGTGTTCCTTCAACAAATGGGCTATATCATGGCTCGTGCCAGCTAGATCCTGGAATCTGCAGTTGTCTCTAGGCGCCAAAGGGTTAACATCTTGGATTGTCAGGTGCCCAGCATAAGCGTCCTATGCAGGAAGGGGTGTCATCCCTTTTCTGATTGGTCGAGTTCTGTGCCAGGAAGTGAGTGACTTGGCGCCGCATTGTCCCAGCCCGCATGACGCTGCAACTTCTGAGCAAGCAGGAACAGAGATGCTTTAACTGCCTGTGTGTACTGAGCCACCAAGTGCAACACGGCCTTTAGGTATCAATGCATGGAGGCTCCTGGTGGGCATGAAGAACGTATGTTGGGCCCTCAGCTTTGGACACCTTTGTGTTTGGGCTCTCGGGATAAAAACAAAAAAAGCCCCGCCTGTCTGCAACTGGTGCCCCTGATCTTACATGCCAGGCTGTGTAGAGGTCTGCAGTAATTATGGAGCCTTTACCACGGCAGGCCAAGCTGGTATCTATGGGCTCCATATGGCTCTTACATGGTTTACAGGCCAACTCTGAGAAAAGTAGACATCCTCACTTGTAGTGGGGCTGGGCCCACCCTGTAAGGCCTCGTGTACACTGCTGAACCTACATGAGTTTAGGAGCTTTTGGCGTTTTTTTGTCAAAGCCTCTGAACGCAAGTCAATAAAAGCCTACGTGTCCATGTACATATAGGCTTTTACCAGAGTTTAGGGGCAGTTAAATGCTGAAACGCAGAAAAAAGGGGGGAAAATGTGTCTAAACGCTAACTGCGTCTAATGTTTGAGCATTTATCCATTCCTTGCTTTAGCTTTTATGTAGTAGGCAGGGGCGGAGCAAGAGGGAATACTATAGGGCAGCCTTTCTCACCCAGGGTTCCAGAAGACCTTACGGTTCGTTTAGGGGTTGCTAGGGGTCCCGTGAGGAATGAGCAGTTTCTGCTTCTTATATACGTTCCTGCTGACACCATTCATCTTTTTTACTCTCTGTAAGGCTTCGTTAACATCTTTGCGGGTGGTGCCACTGCAGGACCTGCTCAAATACCTGCGGCCGCACCACCCACACAGAGAAAAGTGGGACCCGCACAAATACCTGCAGCCGCACCACCCACACAGAGAAAAGTGGGACCCGCACAAATACCTGCAGCCGCACCACCCACACAGAAGAAAGCGGGACCCGCACAAATACCTTCAGCCGTACCACCCGCACAGAGGAAAGCGGGACTTGCACAAATACCTGCGGACGCACCACCCACACAGAGAAAAGTGGGACCCGCACAAATACCTGTGGCCGCAGCACCCACACAGAGGAAAGCTGGACCCACACAAATACCTGCGGACGCACCACCCACACAGAGGAAAGTGGGACCTGCACAAATATCTGCGGCCGCACCACCCACACAGAGGAAAGCAGGACCCGCACAAATACCTGCGGCCGCAGCACCCACACAGAGGAAAGCGGGACCCGCACAAATACCTTTGGCCGCACCACCCATACAGAGGAAAGTGGGACCTGCACAAATACCTGCAGCTGCACCACCCACACAGAGGAAAGCGGGGCCCGCACAAATACCTGCGGCCGCACCACCCACACAGAGGAAAGCAGGACCTGCACAAATACCTGCGGCCGCACCACCCATACAGAGGAAAGCAGGACCTGCACAAATACCTGCAGCCGCACCACCCACACAGAGGAAAGCAGGACCCGCACAAATACCTGCGGCCGCAGCACCCACACAGATGTTAACCAAGCCTTACAGAGAGCAAAAAAGATCAACGGTGTCAGTGGGAACTTATATAAGAAGCAGGAACTGCTCATTGCTCACGGGACCCCTAGCAACCTCTAAATGAACTGTAAGGTCTTCTGGAACCCTGGGTGAGAAAGGCTGCTGTATAGTATTTCCTTTTCCCCACACAGAATAATGCGGGATCCACAGTCGGGTTCCAATAATTCTAATGACACGCCGCCCGCCCTGGAAATCGCAACCAGTGCCCGTGCGGGCTGCGATTTCCCAAGTAGTGCAGGGACTTCTTCTCTGTGTGTCCCCAGGGGAAGAGGTGACCTTTCATATGAACGGGCTCTTGTGCCCGCACAAATCGCGGGCCGCACAGATGTGAACCTAGGGTTAGCAGGGATTCTTCCCACTGACCACAAATGTAATATCTTTCTTCCCACTGACCATCACACTAATGTACAGTGACCTGCAAGTATAGTAAATATACCTTAAAAAAAAAAAATCTGATTAAATATAACCGGATGCCATTTTTTTTTCTCAGTCTGTGTTGTGTTTCTTCTGGATATAGAATTCCAAAATTGTACAACTTGATAAACTGCTGTAATAAAATAAGTCTCTGCCCTTCACAAAGGGAGCTCTATGCTGTTACTGACAAAGGTAATGAAGATCTGATAAACAGACGGCCTTTGTTGGAAGTCCTTGTTAAGTTTTGACCTCTGCTTTCTTTTTGGCCCTGAGGCCACGTGACGGCAAGATGGAGTCCTGCTGGATTCCGAGCTCTCCGGTGTCCTGTATTTTACATGGAAGCTGCCGCTTGGTGACTTGCTGACCTGTAACAGGCATGTGCACAATAGATGTCTGGACTGATGGGCCTGTGCCTGTCCCAGTGATCCCTTTACAAGAGGAAGAATAGTGATGACAGGCACAGAGAAGGCACCTTCAGGCTCCATGCACACTGGGGGGGGGGGGACGTTGATTCCAGTCTGTGTGCACAGACACTGAGGAGAACATGCTGGGGGGGGGTTTTACTGGCTGTAGAAAAAAACGTCAAAAGCCAAAAACAGCCGCTGTAAGAATGTCCCGTGTGCAGGAGGACTTAAGAACAACTATGGCAACTTCATGTGTCTGTTGTTGCAGTAAAACCCTCACCAACCCATTCAGTGAGAGGCAAAACAATTGTGTATAGATACAAAAAACATAAATACCCTTTTCAGGGCTTTTTTCAGCGGGATCGTCAGGAAACGCACTGAATTTATATATTGGCAATGGCTGCTGAGGTGTGTTGGAGGGTCTGTTGATGTTGGCTGCTGGAGATTACTTGCTGGTGGGGGATCTCTTGGAAGAGATCTACTGTTGAGGGAGGGTCAATTTTCTGTTACTGGGGAGGTCTATTGTTGCTGATGGTGTGGGATCTATTGTTTCTGCAAGAGATCTACTGTTGAGGAAGGGTCTATTGTTACTGGGGAGGTCTGTTGCTGCTGGGGAGGTCTATTGCTGATGGTGTGGGATCTATTGTTTCTGCAAGAGATCTACTGTTGAGGAAGGGTCGATTGTTACTGGGGAGGTCTGTTGCTGCTGGGGGAGGTCTATTGCTGATGGTGTGGGATCTATTGTTTCTGCAAGAGATCTACTGTTGAGGGAAGGTCTATTGTTGCTGGGGAGGTCTATTGCTGATGATGGGGGGGGTCTATTGTTTCTGGAAGAGATCTACTGTTGAGGGAGGGTCTATTGTTGCTGGGGAGGTCTATTGCTGATGGGGTGCCTTGTATCAATGGTTCTGGCTGGTGGTGGTGGTGTCATGGTGTGGTGGATCCATCCTGCCTTGTATTAATGGTTTTTCTGGCTGGTGGTGGTGTCATGGTGTGGTGGATCCATCCTGCCTTGTGTCAGCAGTTCAAGCTGGTGGTGTCATGGTGTGGGGGTTCCAGATTTGGCACACTTTGGGCCCCCATTAAACAACAGAGCATAGTTTAAACCCCACGGCCTACCTGAGTATTGTTGCTGACCATGTCCATCCCTTATGACTCCAATGTCCCCATCTTCTGATGGCTCCTTCCAGCAGGATAATGCTCCATGTCACAAAACTCCAATCATCTCCAACTGGTTTCTTGAACATGACAATGAGGTCACTGGACTCCAATGGGTCCTCCACAGTCAGTAGATCTCCATCCAATAGAGCCCCTTTGGGATGTGGTGGAAAGGGAGATTCCCTACATGGATGTGCAGCCCACAAATCTACAGCAACTGCGTGATGCCATCATGTCAATATGGACCAAAATTTCTGAGGAACGTTTCCTGATCCCTTATTGGGTCTATGCCACGAAGAATGAAAGCAATAGGGGGTCCATCCCGAGACTAACAAGGTGGACCGAATAAAGTGGCCAGTGAGAGTATAGATTCTATAATGCCGTCTGTGATTGCAAAAGTGTCCAAATCTCTAAGCCACGGGTGTGAAACTGGTGGCCCTCCAGCTTTTTATTATTATACAGTATTTATATAGCACCACAAAGTTCGCTCAGCGCTGTACAATGTAGTGGGGGACAGTACATGAGGCAATACAGTAACAATACAATACACGAGGGGTTCGAGGGCCCTGCTCCTTGGAGCTTACAATCTAGGAGGGAGGGGATAGTGGAACAGGAGGAAGCTTTTGCCAAACTACAAGTCCCATGAGGCATTGCAAGATTGACAGTTACAAGCGTGATTCCCAAAGGCAGAGGCATGATGGGACTTGTAGTTTCGCAACAGCTGGAGGGCCACTGGTTTGACACCCCTGGTCTAAGCTGTCCTAACCTAGGGAGCAGGCTCTTCCGAATATTTACTTTTGAAGGGTTTGTTTGAACGAACTCCATAGGCAAAAGCCGTGTGTATACAGATTGTTTAGGAAGGAAACCGATTTTAAGTGGCCCGATTGTTGCTGATCCCTGTACAGCTTTCAGAAGATAATTGGGGGACCTCCAAAGATAAAAGAATGACAGAGGCCGTGGGGGAGTTCCTTGTGGTTTATTGGATATGATCTAGGAAGGAAAAGTCAAATGCTATGGTGTACCCACATCTGTGAGGTTGCTGAGCTCCCTGATGTGGGATCATACAACCCGGAACACCTGCAGGGAATACACCTGCCCCTCTGCAGAGGAAGGTCGCTCTTCACTCTGTGGTCTCAGGATTCCAGTGTATTCACAGTAAGAGGTCTTAGCGCCCCAAGAAATGGGAGAGTGGTGTCAGCAGAGGCCCCTGAATGCCAAGAAGTTAAGACGTGGACTCTTAATAATTCGATATTTACTGCTCACGGAATTGTATAAAACACCATCAACGCGTTTCATGGCACTACAATGGCCACTTCCTCAGGATGGTGGAAAAAACCACTTTCAGCAGCTGTGATCTGTCTCTCCTGATGTTGATTAGTGTGCTGGAACTCCAGAGCTATCAGAGGACAGCAGGAGCAAGCACAATGGGGAAATATTCTAGTTGCTCACCTGCTTGATTTGCCTAGATATAGCCTGTGATATAATTCTTCTTCTTGTGTTTCAGCCCCCGGCTCTGCCGAGCGTCCAGGACAGAAGAGGAAGCTCCCCAGTCCGCAGCATTCATCCAATGGATGACACTCCCCTCAGGATGCCTCCGCCAGCCCCAGTAAAAAGAAAAAGAAACCGGGAATGTTAAACAGTCACAATAAGGACCAGGTATGGCCGGTGATGGCATCGTATGGCTCCTTGTCCTGTGTATCTGTTGGGGTCACCTGCAGAGTGTCATTTCTGCCACCAAAAAAATAACCATTTTTTTTTTTTCCCCCATTGGGGGACATGGGAAGTGTCTAACATATATTGCTTCCTTCAGGAGGATTGGGCACTGGAAAAGATAAAAAGATGGTAATCCAGCCCGGAATAACCAACCTGTCTCAGTTTTTTGCTAGTGACCTGGGAGGATGAAATTTTTTTTTTTTCCCCCTCCCTTGTTTTTTGGTAGCACCTTTTTCTTTCTTTTTTTTTTATTTTAAGCAAGACACTTTTCTATGTTGCTTTCATCGTTTTTTCCTGAACCATCGTAAATCATCTCTGGAACCAACTCTTATCTGGGTCTAGTTTGAGTATCTGGGTCTAGTCCTGGACACAGCTTGGACCAGAGTGTTTCTTACAAAGCACAAAAGTTCGATTCTCAGATTCGACCTCCAGGAGGTATCGGGCTCTCCACTTTATGCAGAAGAGTTTTGGGCCTGATGGTGGCTTCCTTCAAGGCAATCCTTTTTTCCCATTTTCACTCCAGACCTCTACATCGCAATATTCTCCAGTCATGGGAGAACTCAGGCCCCTGGACACACCAATTTGTTTGGCACTGAGAGCCAGGTTGTCCCCGGCTTTCTAGTTTAGGAATCTGGCTCTAGAGTTGGGGAAGTCCTTCTTACAGTCTTTTGGAAGATTCTCTAGACAGATGCTAGTCTGTCGGGTTTGGGAGTGTCCTGGGCATTTTGTCCATGTAGGGAGCTTTGTTGGGGAGGTCTAGTCTCTCGATCAACATCCTGAAGCTTCAGGAAATTTATCTGTCTGCTGCATTGGGCTATCTACTGGGAGGTCATCTGACCCAGAGTGAGTTAGGCAGCACCATTGTAGTGGCTTACATCACCCATCAGGAAGGAACCAGAAGTCTTGCCATAGCAAGAGAGGCAGACGGGTACTGTCCTGGGCAGTACTTCATGTCCTGGGCTTGTCCAATCTGTACATCCCAGGTGTAGACAGTAAGCAGGCAGACTCACTCAGCTTGCAGCACCTAGACCTGTGGGAATGGTCCTTACAACTGTCAGTGCTCCAGGACCTGTGTCCCAGGTGGGGGCTGCCAGATGTGGACCTCCTGCCCTCCTGGTTTAACATCAAAATGGACAGTTGAAGTTACAGTTACAGGGATCCCTTAGCAGAAGCAGTGGATGCTATGGTGGCTGCATGGGATCAGTACACCCTGCTGAATACTTCTTCCTCCTCTGCTTCACAGGATCAAGATGAATTGCATTTCTGTGATTTTCATCTCTCTAGACTTCCCAAGATAGATGTGATATGTTATCCTAGTAAGATTCCTGGAGGACACCCCATAGGGCTATGTTGAGGCTCAGTTCTTTCCCCATCATTGGTGTCAGTTGGAGGAGCATTGCCTCATCATTGGTGTCAGTGGGAGGAATAGTGCCTGCTCTTCATTGGTGTCAGTGGCAGGAATAGTGTCCCATCATTGGTGTCAGTGGCAGGAATAGTGTCCCATCATTGGCAGTGGCAGGAATAGTGTCCCATCATTGGTGTCAGTGGCAGGAATAGTGTCCCATCATTGGTGTCAGTGGCAGGAATAGTGTCCCATCATTGGTGTCAGTGGCAGGAATAGTGTCCCATCATTGGTGTCAGTGGGAGGAATAGTGTCCCGTCATTGATGTCAGTGGCAGGAAGGAATAGTGTCCCATCATTGGTGTCAGTGGGAGGAATAGTCATGGCAGTGGCAGGAATAGTGTCCCATCATTGGTGTCAGTGGGAGGAATAGTGCCCCATCATTGATATCAGTGGGAGGAGTAGTGCACCATCATTGGTGTCAGTGGGAGGAATAGGCCCATCATTGGTGTCAGTGGGAGGAATAGTGCCCCATCATTGGTGTCATTGGTGTCAGTGGCAGGAATAGTGCCCCATCATTGGTGTCAGTGGGAGGAATAGTGCCCCATCATTGGTGTCAGTGGGAGGAATAGTGCCCCATCATTGGTGTCAGTGGGAGGAATAGTGCCCATCATTGGTGTCAGTGGGAGGAATAGTGCCCCATCATTGGTGTCAGTGGGAGGAATAGTGCCCCATCATTGGTGTCAGTGGGAGGAATAGTGGCCCCATCATTGGTGTCAGTGGGAGGAATAGTGCCCCATCATTGGTGTCAGTGGGAGGAATAGTGCCCCATCATTGGTGTCAGTGGGAGGAATAGTGCCCATCATTGGTGTCAGTGGGAGGAATAGTGCCCCATCATTGGTATCAGTGGGAGGAATAGTGCCCCATCATTGGTGTCAGTGGGAGGAATAGTGCCCCATCATTGGTGTCAGTGGGAGGAATAGTGCCCCATCATTGGTAAAGCCTAAAAAAAAGGAAAACTAATGCAGTTGCCACATCTAATGATAGACAAGCTGAAATATATTACAATTTCGATTTTGGGTTTAATACCGCTTTAACTTTAAGCTCTGGTCCCTCCCCCAGCCTGCAATTGGACAGTGAAAGGAGAAGTAGCAGACTGATGAGCTCATCTCTCTGTCAGTCTGATCTCTCCTCCTCTCTGCATGTGTGACCGAACCTTCTACATACAGAGCTGCATCGCTTTGTGTCCTCTGTCTGCCTGAAGATCAGATTTAAAAAATCTAAACTATTGACAAGTTGATACTACAAGTATTTTACCGAGAGCAATACCAATTATATTCGTATATTCGGGGCTTATATGAGAAAAAACCGGTTACAACCGTACATGGAAACCTGTAAATGAGACGCACACAAAGTTACGCACTGATCCTTTGTGCATCCTTCTTGATAGATCTTCTCCATTATATACAAAATTAGCAACATTTGTTTTGTTTTTTTTTTTCTTTTCTGCTACATTGAAGCCGTAAATGTTGTTTCCTTTTACAAAACAAAGTCCATTGTGTTTATTTCTGTGCGAATTTCCATATAATGAGAATGGAGTAAACAAACCCTGCGTGTAAATAAACCTGGGGGAAGTGTTATGGGGGGGGGCTGTATAGGGCAGCCTGGAGATACAATCTAATGGGTACAACTTCCTGTACTAGGACTGTGTGAACTCCGCTGTCAGGAGGAATGCTTTGTTGATGGATATTTTTAGTATTTTATTTGTTTCATTTTGCTGAACTTTCATTTATATTTTCTTGTGTATGTGCTGGTTTCTGTATTTGTTTTATTTAACTGCATTAAGAAATGTTTTATGTACACTGCCTGGCTGAAATTTTTTAAAATTGGAAGTGTGTTAGACTGCCTAATGCAGGGATGTCAAACTCAATTTCATCATTGGCCAAATCAGCAGTCTGGTTGCCCTCAAAGGGCCAGTTGTATCTGGAGTGTGCTTTGTACAGAGTGAAAGGTTGCCCTGCGTACAGAGCGCCGAGTTCAGGGGTGCGCTGCGTAGGCGCAGAGTTCAGCGCTGCGTACAGAGCGCAGAGTTCAGGGGTGCGCTGCGTATAGAGCGCTGCGTGCGTACAGAGCGCAGAGTTCAGGGGTGCGCTGCGTACAGAGCGCAGAGTTCAGGGGTGCGCTGCGTACAGAGCGCAGAGTTCAGGGGTGCGCTGCGTACAGAGCGCAGAGTTCAGGGGTGCGCAGCTGCGTGCGTATAGAGCGCTGCGTACAGAGCGCAGGGTTCAGGGGTGCGCTGCGTACAGAGCGCAGGGTTCAGGGGGTGCGCTGCGTACAGAGCGCAGAGTTCAGGGGTGCGCTGCGTACAGAGCGCAGAGTTCAGGGGTGCGCTGCGTATAGAGCGCAGAGTTCAGGGGTGCGCTGCGTACAGAGCGCAGAGTTCAGGGGTGCGCTGCGTACAGAGCGCAGAGTTCAGGGGTGCGCTGCGTACAGAGCGCAGAGTTCAGGGGTGCGCTGCGTACAGAGCGCAGAGTTCAGGGGTGCGCTGCGTACAGAGCGCAGAGTTCAGGGGTTGCGTACAGAGCGCAGAGTTGGGGTGCGCTGCGTACAGAGCGCAGGGTTCAGGGGTGCGCTGCGTACAGAGCGCGCTGCGTACAGAGCGCAGGGTTCAGGGGTGCGCTGCGTACAGGTGCAGTGTTCAGGGCAAAGTGCGCGCGTACAGAGCGCAGGGTTCGGGAGGCAGAGTTCGCGCTGCGTACAGAGCGCAGAGTTCGGGGTGCGCTGCGTACAGAGTGCAGGGTTTGGGGGTGCGCTGCGTACAGAGCGCAGGGTTCAGGGGTGCGCTGCGTACAGAGTTCAGGGTTCTGTGTATAGAGTGCAGGGTGTGTAACCCCCAAACCCCCCAAAGCTTCCTTGCATCTCTCTC